TAAGATTCCCATGTGTGAGTCAGCGAATGAGTAGTAGGAGGACGCTGATACACGTTCTGTGTGTGATCGGTGATAGCGTACAGCAGATTAGTTCTTGACTTATATCTTTTACAACTCTGTTTATTCAAAATGGCTCGAGGTGACAAGCCACACACGGTTTGGTTCTTCTAAAACCAACAACACCCGCTTCCTCCCTGTAGCTTTAATTTAATGTTCAAAAATGTCATAATTAACTTAAATAGTTGCAGTACATATTTATTTTATTCTCTTCCGAGTCGGTGGGGCTTTTTTCGGGCGGGCCACTGCTCCGCCCCGCGCACTTGCAGTTGCACACCTCCCTCTCCAGGAAGCAGCTGTTTCTGCAGCCGATGTCGCCGGGCTCGCAGCTCGTAGTGCAGGCGTCCATCTTGTCGCGGCACTGGCTGATCGTCAGCCGTCCGCCCGCCGGTCGGTCGTCCGGGCCGTCCGCGGGGAAGCGCAGGCACCCGCACCTGCAGCTGTCGCGGCACTGGGACAAGCACTCCGCGTCCCCTTCGAGGCATCCGCAGGTCGCAGTGTGGCACTGCAACCGAGGGGTCATTCACTCAAAAAAATCAGTGTACACCCTTCGAAAACATTACGAAAAAATCATTTTAAAAATCACGAAAAAATCATAACAAATTAACGAGGAGTCAGAAAAAAATCACAGAAAATCACAAAAAAATCACAAAAAATCGTGAAAAAATCACAAAACAAAAAATCAAGAAAAACAGAAAAATTGGTGTACGCTACAATTTATAGTGAAGGACCCCTCACTGCAACACGCGGGGCGGGTTATTAGTCAGCTGCAGTGAGGGGGAGGGGGGGGGGTGTAAAGCTGCGCAAGACTTACCGACCGCACAAAGGCGCACAGCTCCAGCTGCTCCCTGTCCTCGGTGGCCGTCATGTACTCAGCAGCGGCAGTGTTGCCCGCCGCGCCGGCCACGCACGCGCACTCGCACTTCTTGTAGAACGCCACGCACCAGTCTTTGCGCTCGATTTCCGTCGACATCAAATCTTGTTTACAAGCCATTTCGTTGGTGTAGCACTTACCACCGCACTCAGCCCAAGACTCCGGATCGTCGATGCGCGTTGTGCTAGGGAGCCCGGCGCAACCACAGGCGCAGTTCTTCTGCCTAACACTCGGCCCAACAAGTAGGCACCAATCTTTTTTCTCAGTGCCACCGCACTCGCTACCAAAGGCCTCTTCTGCACTGTCGCACTGCAACACGGGAAGAGGTGGACGGGTCAGAAGAGAAGTTGGTCCTGCCAGAGAGCCTCGCTTAGAGAGCTCATCGGAGCTAGACGTACCTGTGAGACACACCTGTACCACTTCTCCTGCAGCTCCTCGGGTGTACTGCACGTGGTCACCGCGGCGATCGCCACGGCCACGCTGGCCTGGGCACGAGTCACCAATAGGCACTCGCAAGAGCACTTCTCATTGGCCAACCAACATTTGGCCTGGCATTCCCTGTCTACCCTGTTGCAGCCACGCATACAGTGGATGAAATCCTCCACACACTCCCTTTCACCCTCGCACTTCCTCCAAAGGTCCAGGTCCATGCCGTCGCGCTGGTAGCCGCTGCAGCCACACTTGCATATCTGCCTGCACCTGTCCGCGCAGCTCTTGTCGTCCGGGGGGCACCAAGCGCAGCTCAGCGCAGCGTTGTCGCACTGCAACACGGAGGGGGGG